GGAAAAATATTGGTCAAAGGGTGCAAAGTTTCAGTTAGGAAGAATAAGTGTTCTATTATTCTTTGGGTGTTCTTTTGTACAATAAAGGAAATCATGTTAGTAATTATGCATTATATATTTTATATGCTACCTTGCTAATAGAGTGGCTTTTAAATGTTTTTGCTGGAAAAATATATATGTGGGGCGATGGATGTTAATTAGCCTGATCTGCTCAATCTGCAATGTATACATGTATTGAAGCATCACATCTTACCCCATGAATATATATAATTATTATTTGTCAATAAAGATGAAATAAAAATAAAGGAATTAATAAGCTGTTAACTAGTATTTTAACTAGAAATCCTGTTTTAAAAAGTTTTCTATGTGAAAAAAGGTTTACAAAGACCACCCTGCATAAAGACTATCCCTGAGTGGATCCAATTATTCCTTGTAGGGTAGTTATGCCAGGATTAAACCTATATTCTGTGATAAACAGGATTTATTGTTTCAGAGATTTTATAATAGTAAAACTGTAACACTTTCTTATTTTTAGAATATATTAAACAAATTATATATCCATAATCAGGATAGACAATAACATCCCACTAGATTTAATTTTAGTATTGTCTAATGTTTGTGTTAGTTTTCCTGCATTTATTAGTGGCCAACCTTGTATTATAAACAGTCCAGCATGCTTTTAATTAAGGACTCTGCACTGGGCACTTTCAGATAGAATAAGACATTGACAAGGCATATGGATATGTGGCAGGCATTTAGACAGGTGATTGGCAAACTTTTCCTGTAAAGGGCCAGATAGTAGATATTTTAGGCTTTGCTGGCTAGATGGTCTCTGTTGCCAATATTCAGCTCTGTCCTGGTAGTATGTTAGCAATCTTAGACAATATTTAAACAAACTAGTGTAGTTGTGTTCCAAGAAAACTTCCTGTACACAGACAGACAGTAGGTTAGTAATTTATGTAGTACCAATCTAGATGAATAAGTCATTATGGTTGTCAGTTCAGGAAGAGGAATGATACAAAGTTTAAAAAAAAGTTGTTTGAAACTTAGAATACATTTTAGAAATCATATTAGAAATAGTAGTTATGCAAAAGCCTATTTTACTTTTTGTAGGGAGTTGAACTATGTGCTACCTAATTTCTGTAGAGCTCTACACAATTGGAATGTAAGGATATTAGGAGTAAGAAGTGAAAAAATAAATTTCATTTCTTTTACCTTTGGTTTGGTGGCAACTTCCATGCTTCCAATAGACTGGAATTGGCAAAGAGGAAAACTTTTTATAGTAAGTGGAAGAAAAGGTGGGTTCTTTAGTACTGAGGATGAGGAGTTCGGGGATTGTGGTGAGTAGTTTCCTTTTAAGTTTGGGAAATTGCACTACTGAAGGTGAATAGGATAGGACAGGGTGTGTAGTTTTCAGGTACTCCTATTGTTTAGCGTAGGTGGGGAGGCATAACAGTTCCGTCACATCACTTATTTATAAGAGGGAGATAAGGATTACTATGGTAACTCTTACAGTGTCTGTTTCTTTGGAGGAGGGGGAATATATATTTTTAATTTTTGTGGTTACAGAGTAGGCATATGTATTTATGGGGTACATTAGATATTTTGATACAGTCATGCGATGCATAGTAATCACATTGTGGAAGATGGGGTATTGATCTCAAGCATTGATCCTTTGTGTTGCAAACAATCCAGTTATATTCTCAGTTATTTTAAAATGTACAATTAAATTATTACTGACTATAATCACCCTGTTGTGCTTTCAAATACTAGTTTTATTCATTCATTCATTCTATTTTTTTTGTATCCCTTAACGATCCCTACCTCCTCCTTACTTTCCTGCTACCCTTCCCAGTCTCTGGTAACTAATTTTCCTACTCTCTATCTCCATGAGTTCAATTGTTGTGCTTTTTAGATCCCACAAATCAGTGGGAACACACAATGTTTATCTTTTTGTGCCTGGCTTATTTCATGTAACATAGTGACATCCAGTTTCATCCATTTTGTTGCAAATGACTGAATTACATTATTTTTTATGGCTGCATAATACTTCATTGTGTATATGTACCACATTTCTTTATCTGTTCATCTGTTGATGAGCATATAGGTTGCTTCCAAATCTTGGCTATTGTGAACAGAACTGCAAGAAACATGGGAGTGCAGATGTTCTGATGTATTGATTTCCTGTCTTACGGGTATATAGCCAACAGTGGGACTGCTGAATTGTATAATAGCTAAATTTTTAGTTTTATGAGGAACTTCCAAACTGTCCTCCATAGTTGTACTAATTTACATTCCCACCAACAGGGTAAGAGGGTTCCCTTTTCTCCATATCCTTGCCAGTATTTCTTATTACCTTTCTTTTGGATATAAGCCATTTTAACTGGGGTGAGATGATATCTCATTGTAGTTTTGATTTTCATTTCTGTGATGATCAGTGATGTTGAGCACCTTTTCATATATGTTTGAAATTTGTATGTCTTCTTTAGAGTAGTGTCTTACTCAAATCTTTAGCCCACTTTTAAAATTGGATTGTTGGTTTTTTTCCCTGTAGAGTTGTTTGAGCTCCCTGTATATTTTGGTTATTAATCCTTTGTCAGATGGATAGTGTACAAATATTTTCCCCCATTCTGTCGGTTGTCTCTTCATGTTGTTGTTTCCTTTGCTGTGCAGAAGCTTTTTAGCTTGATGTAAGCCCGTTTGTCCATTTTTGCTTTGGTTGTCTTTGCTTGTGGGTTTTTACTCAAGAAATCTTTGCCCAGTCCAATATTCTGGAGAGTTTGCCCAATGTTTTCTTATAGTAGATTCATATGCTTAATTATCTTTTATTATGTTAGACATTTTATTTGAAAATTATTGATAGAAATAATTTGAGGCCCAGGGTAATGTTATTTTTCTTTAGAGAATATCATGTATCTTCTGTTAGGAGACTTGGCATATTGGCAATTCTAACAGCACCATAAGCTGATTCTAAGACACGGAGTTTTCTGCTGCTCAGATGACTCATAGCTAACCTACATTCCAGGTAAAGACTGGTTAACTTCTGGTATACTATTATGTTAATAGCAAGTCATGTTCCAAGTCAGAATGCCCTGTTGTTCCTTTGAGCCCGTATGTTTTGTGGGTTATTGCTTCCAACTTTTGTTCCCCTCTCTCTTTGAGGCTACCAAATGCACTCTTAGCCTTTGGCAATCTCTTCTAAATAGGCAAATCTCTCAGAACAAAACCATCTCTGAATGCTTGCCTCCTCTTAAGCAATTTGCAGCTTCTGAATCTTGGCATGGTACATTTTATCGTGTTGTTACTTTTAAGATTTTAAAATTGTTCTTTTGCTTTTTAAGTTATCTTCAGTAGAGAGTTTTTCTGAATTACTGCATTAGGTATTATTGAAAGTGAAAAATCAGGGCAAGTTATTTAACCTGTTACTTAAAATGTGCTTCAGATTTCTCATCTGTAATATGGAGTTATTAATTAGTATCTCATGGGGTTTTTGAGATTTTCAAATGAGGCAACACATTGTGTGTTTATAGTGGTTACTGACATGTAGAAAATGCTCAAATTATTATTACATTCATTTGAGAATATGGGAATTTGTTTGTTGTTCTTCAAGGATTTTCCAAGCATGAATTAGCCACTTTATTACTGAAGTAATTTGCAGGAATTGTGAAAGACTTGCAATTGACATTAACATTGACTGACATTTTTGTCAACCCTGATTTAGGTAAATTAAGTTTCTTCTCCCTAATGTGTTTAAGACTGTATGCTATAAGGAAAATTTGATTTCATCTAAAAGTAGATAATGGCTCTGATATATATGTGTGTATGTGTGTATGTTTATGTGACTATGTAAAAACTGATTAGCTGTGATGTGTATGTGTATATGCATTTATAAATATAGTATATAAATGTTAAGTGGGAAGACATTTTAATTATTTAAAGTATGGTCTCTTGATAAAATAATTGGGCTGGAGGTAAGAGAACCAAAATTAAGTAGAATTGTTTTTTGGGCCGTGCGCAGTGGCTCACGCCTGTAATCCCAGTACTTTGGGATGCTGAGGCAGGCGGATCACGAGGTCAGGAGATCGAGATCATCCTGGCCAACATGCCGAAACCCCATCTCTACTAAAAAAAAAAAAAAAAAAAAATTAGCCGGATGTGGTGGTGGGCACTTGTAGTCCCAGCTACTTGGGAGGCTGAGGCAGGAGAATCACTTGAACCTGGGAGGCAGAAGTTGCAGTGAGCCGAGATCACACCACTGCACTCCAGCCTGGTGGCAGAGAGATTCCGTCTCAAAAAAAAAAAAAAAAAAAAAAAAAAAAAAATGAATTGAGGTTTTTGTTTTAAGTATTTTTAGATTCTGAAAATCTGAAGTTTTTCTAAGTATCTCTTTGTTTTTATGCATAAAATAGGAAAATAATACCTTTTTATTTGTCCTATTTTAAAAATTGATTTGAGTCCTTGGACTAGATGTAAAATAGACAGGAGAAAATGTTAATAAAACATATATTTATAGCAGAACTCTATAAAGTCTGATGACACCTATTTTAGCAATACCGGTGCATGAAGAACAAATATAGCTCATGTGGTAACTCCCCAAAGTGGGACATAAATATACTGTTTCTCTATTTCATAGATTTGTATTTGATCTTTCTTCTTCTGCCTCCACCTAATTTTTGTGCAGATGAAGTTTAACTTAACGCTATTTTGCATCAACATTGAATCCTTCAGTGCCATGTTCAATCTTTCAGTGTCTTTTTTCCCATGTGAATTGAAATGGTCATGATATATTAAGGTTTAAAGAAATCCAAAATAAGTATCTTTTGAGATGTAGAGAAAAATGCAGCTATTTGAAATTTTCCTAAGTTGTAAATAAATCCTCCTTTTTGGGAAGTGCTGTGTCCCATTCTGTTGGCTTAATGACTTTTAAATTTTATTATCCTGCTGTATGTCTTAAAGTTATTTTAAGGTAATTATTTTCATTATTTTGTTTTATCTTCCAGGTTAACAGAGCCTTCTGGATATTTAACAGATGGTCCAATTAACTATAAATATAAAACTAAATGTACATGGCTCATTGAAGGCTAGTAAGTATACAGTCTGGGTCAAATTATTTTATTCTTAAATGGTAAAAGTGACCATGTTAATATTAAAGCATTAAAGTATAATGACTTTATCATTTAGTTTGTTTATTATTTGATAACATTTACAACTTGTAGACATCACATTTAATAGAAATTACACTACCTCTTCACTGCGACAATAGTTTACATATATATATTTTGTTTTTGAGTTATGTTACTGTGGTATCAAATTGAGTAGGCATTTTTCTGGTTTATTTTGAACAACTTGTTATGAAATTTATAGACATCATAGAAAGTATAAAATTATTTCATGCTGAGTTATGCTATTCATATTATTTAGCATTTTAGTTTGAAGGGTATTTTTAAAAGAACATTTTGTAGAAGAGAGAGTTAGTTATTCATTTAGAGGTATTTTCACTAATTAGGGCTTAAAACAGAATTTATCTATTTAAATGTATTGTGAGTGGAGCATAAAAGAATTGATGTGAATTATTTTTGAACCATTTTATAATTTCTAAATAGTATATTTGGAAAACTTTTTATTTAATTTTTTTTAAAATTAAAAGCTATTTTTTCTCCGCTGTGTACCTATAGTCTCATTTTGTTTATTTGTTAACATTATATCACATTGAGAATTTTGATTAAAATTTAAATAATTTTTTAGTGCCTCCACTTAAGGATTCTGTAGAAATAAGAATAGTGGCTTCTTGAGTGTTGATTTTTTACAATCAACTTTATTTAAGTACTATTTGCATACAACAAAATGCACCCATTTTAAGTGTACAGTTCCATAAGGTTTCAGTGATGTATACAATCTGTGTATCTGTGTAACCTCTACTTTAAATCAAGACATGTAACTTTTTTTTTTTTTTTTTTGAGTCAGTCTCACTCTGTTGCCCAGGCTGGAGTGCAGTGGCATTATCTTGGCTCACTGCAGCCTCTGCCTCCTGGGTTCAAGCAATTCTTCTGCTTCAGCCTCACGAGGAGCTGGGACTATGGGCGCATGCCGCCATGCCTGGCTAATTTTTGTACTTTTAGTAGACATGGAGTTTCACCATGTTGGCTAGGATAGTCTTGATCTCTTGACCTCATGATCTGCCTGCCGCAGCCTCCCAAAGTGCTGGGATTACAGACGTGAGCCACCGCACATGGCTGTATAATTTTTATTGACTACATTTTTAGAAAATAATGATCATACATATGTCCTGTTAATAGATTTTGAAAGTTACATTTTATTTTTACAAATTAGATAAGATCGCTTATCAATCTTTTACCCTGGTGTTAAAAGGATTTGTAGCAAAGTTATATATGAACAAATTTCTAATGAAATACCCTATCTAAAATTTCAACACTCTGCTTTGTATATGATAAATATTATGTATTTATTCACTCTGTGCTTTGTATATTGTTAATCAAAAAATTTTATTTTTTTCAGTCCAAATGCAGTGTTAAGATTAAGATTCAACCATTTTGCTACAGAATGTAGCTGGGATCATATGTATGTTTATGATGGAGATTCAATATATGCACCTTTAATAGCTGTACTTAGGTGAGTAATTATGTTTAGTTGCAGAAAAGTAATTATGTGTAATTGCTTAACTTAAATATATATTGATATGTACTGCAAAATAAATTTAGTAAAGATATTGATAGTTAAATTTCACAGATGATTATAATACTTTATTATATACTGTAACTGCCAATTTAGGTTATAATTATGTAAATATTGAGATAAGTACTATATTGGAAATATAGCTTTCTTTCTATTTTTTATTCTCATTGTATTTAGTTTATTTTTTTAACGAGGCTTGAATATGTTTTCAGAACTATTTATTTGGATATATTAGAGTGAGTTCCAGGTGACAAGCAAATAAATAGACAGGTTTTTCTTTAATATTTGTCTTTTTATTTCAGTGAAATGATAAAATTTTAAATTCTGCATAAAAGGGTTAAGTTATGCTTTGTGCAGTGGTTAATAAAGATGGAGTTTCTACCAGTTCTCAAAATGTGAGAATTTTGTTTGCTTCAACATATTTTATTGTTAGCAGTAAGGTATACTATTAATTTTAAAATTATAGCATTGTATCAATTTTAAAATCTTATGTATGTATGTTTAGATTATTATAAAAGTTTTCATGAATAGGAGAAAATCTAGTAGACACAAAAAATTATGAACATTTAGTATAGATTTTGTATATAATTTAACATGATTGTTGATAAGTTACTCATTATATTATTTACTTTTGCTATTTACACAATAGCTCTTACATGTTCTATCATTGTTGAAAATTTAAGTAAGGATAAAAGCTTATTGGTCCCTTCAAAGTTTTTTATTTCAAAATTTTCTTTTTATTATTAATGTGGAAAATACTGTTTTATTTTGTTCTATTTTATCAGGAATGTGAATTATTATTTTGGACAAAAATATGAGGACTTGTATATCCTTAGGAGCTTGGATACTTATTCTGTGATATTGCTATTGCTTAAATTTTGAGTTGTTTGAACATTAGAAAAATTAGAGAAAAAAGTAGCCCTTCATCTAAGGACAATAGAGAGAAAATAGAGACTTGCAAATAATTATGTTGTAAGATAATTTATTGTAACAATTCAATTGATTCTCAGTTCATACATTTATTTTTAGCAATTTAAACATAACCTTGCTATCTTTACTGTATTTTTATGATACTGTTGACTGACCATCAATAAGATGTGTGCCTGTTCATTTATCTAGTAATTCTAATTACTTTGTATTAATTAATACTCATCTATTAGCATTCTTACCAACACTTTCCTGTTACTAAAGGAAGATAATTAGCAGGTGGGATTTAGTATATGGCTGTGAAGATGGAATTAGTGATTTCTCATTAGTAAGTGTTCTTGTTAGCCCTCCTAAGGGAAATGGAAAACTCATGTTTATTGATATTGAGTATCCACTTGATATTAAGCATTATGCTAGGCAGTTTAAATGTCATCTAATCCTCACAAAGATCTTGTTGGGGAAGTATTAAGTACTATTATCCCCATTTTACAGTTGAGAAAATTGACATTCAGAAAAGCTATTTGCTTTTAATAGATGGTAGAGCTAGGATTAGGACTTGAATCTCAATCTCTTGATTTAAAAGTATATGCTGTTTGTATTTCATCTTGCTAAGAATTCAGAATCTAATATGTTTGAATTATTTCAATTATATAAATATTTATTACTCAACACTTAATTCCAGAGACTGTCACAAGCTTGGAGGACATAGTAAGGAATAAGGCATAGGCTATTGCAATGACTTTAGATACTACCTCCAGTTGGGCCAGATCAATTTCCTAGGTTAAGTTCATAGTCCTCTACAACAGGGGTCTTCTCTCCACCCCCGACCCCTATACCAGTTTGTGCCCTGTTAGGAACAGGGCCACATAGTAGGAAGTGAGTGGTGGTCTGGTGAGCAAAGCTTCATCTTTATTTACAGCTGATCCTCTTTGCTTGCATTACTGCCTGAGCTCCACATCCTGTCAGATCAGTGGTGGCATTAGATTCTCACAGGAGTGAGAACTATAGTGAACTCCGCATGTGAGGGTTCTAGGTTGTTCTCTCCTTATGAGAATCTAATGCCTGATGATCTGTCACTGTCTCCCATCACCCCCAGATGGGACCATATAATTGTAGGAAATCAAGCTCCGGGTTCCCACCGATTCTATATTATGGTGGGTTGCATAATTATTTTATTACATATTACATTGTAATAATAATAGAAATAAAGTACACAATAAATGTAATATTCTTGAATCATCCCCAAATCATCCTCCCTGTGGTCTGTGGAAAAATTGTCTTCCATGAAACTGGTCCTTGGTTCCAAAAAGGTTGGGGACCACTGCTCTATAAGACTGCTGTCATTTTAGACACTAGCTGTAAGCTTGGTGGTCCCCACCTACTCTGATCATCTGACTACAAATTTAGGAGTTCCTATTCTCTCCTAAAAGTTTGATAATTCACTAGAATTATCATAGAACTAAGGAAAGTTCTACACTTAAGACTATAGTTTTATCATAGAGGATAGAAATCAGAGCCAGCCAAATTAAGAGATGTATAGAGTGAGGTCTGGGAGGATCATAAATGCAAAGCTTCTGGGTCCTCAGAATGTGTTACCTAACCAGCACGTCAACATGTAGCACCAACAAGGAAGCTCATCTGAGCTTCAGGTGTCCAGAGTTTTACTGAAGTTTCACTATGTAGCCATGAATGATTGAATCATTGGCCATGAGGCTGAACTCAAATCTCTAGGACCTCCCATCGCCTTCTCTCTTGGGAAATTAGGCTGATACCATACATTGGCCCCAACACTTTAATCACTTGGCGAGTGTTTCTGGAGTGGCCACCCCCCATTCTGAATTATCTCTTTAGCTTAAATTAATTAGGGGCTCACCGTGAATCACTTCATCAGCATACATTGTCAGGGCCCACCATGAATAAAAAGACACTGCTATTACTCAGGAAATTTCAAGGATTTAGAGGTTAAATCCCAAGAACTGGGGACAAAAGTCAGCCAAATTCTTTAGTGTGCAGTAGTCATGCATTAATGGGGGTATGTAAACATATTTTTCTCATAGCTTAGTTAGTGTTATAATCAGGTTGTGAAGGAGTACTATATAATTTCAAAATAAAGAATTAATCCTTCCTATTGACTTTCATTATGAGTAGAAGAATGAAACATGGGATGGGGGGCAGATAGGCCATTCTAGAGAGAGAAAAACATATATACAAAGGTATATAGACACATTAAAGAGCATTATATTTTGGGACAATAGTAAAAAATTTTGAGTAACTTGATTGTAGGAAATACAAAGTCACATAGGAGTTATGTTACCAAAAAGCAGCAATCAGTGACATTTACTTAGTGCTCATTTTGTGCTGGACAATGTGCACAAGTTCTTTATAAGCATTAATTTATTTAATCCTCAAAATAACATTTAGGTAAGTATTGATATTGCAGTTTTACAAATGGAGAATTGAGATACAGAGACTTTCTGTGAATGGCCCAAGTTTGTGTAGCTGATAAGTAAGAATATGAATCTAGATTGTACAATTATAGATCCTAATCCCTTAATCACTGTAATATTGCTTTCTTATACAGCTCACTAAAGAAGTTGGACTTTTATTCTATAGGCAAGACTTTTTAGAATGTGGAGAATAGATTGGAATGGATAATTTTTTTTTGTTTGTTTTTTTACTGTGTGCTAGATAATTGTATGTTGGATGTTGTGTTTTGAAAATCATGTATCATAATAATTTAAGGCCTAGAAAGATGATATTCTTGCAGAGACTACCTGGGGATGCTAGCAATCCACATTCAACTCAGTCCTAACTCAGATATTGAGAAGATTCATAGCTCAGCTACAGTGCAGTTCTTTGGAGGGTCTGACTTTAGGTAGTTTGCTTTTACTTCCAATCACTGGAGTCCCATTTCAACCTGAGGGCCCTGAGTTTCACTTTTTGTTTCCCTCGCTCTGTAAAATCCTTGAAATTACCACCCATCTTTTTGTAGCCCTTCGGATCTTACCTCCAGTCCTGAATACAGCAAGTGCCAATAGGGCACATGGCCTCAATGCCTGGGTAGGCCTTCCAGCTGATTTTATTGTTTTTATATAATTTGTCATTTTACTAGACTTTGGTTGGTCCAGATTTCCTGGTGTATTATACAATAAGTGGAAACTCTCTTTCATTTGTTGTTTTTAAAATGCTTACAGACTAAAAAGCAAACAAAACGATTCTTTTTATCTCTTTCAGAGAGCTCTCAGAGACTAGCTATATCTATTATAAAGACCTATTATTTTTAGTAATACTCTTATCTAATTTTATTACACTGAACAATATGTATGTATAACTAAGACTGGTATCACAGAATTTGTATTCTTTTGAGAGTCTCATTTTAAAATCATTTGTTGCTTCACAAACATAACCTAGTAGATGTAATAATTACTAAAGCATTGCATTAAGAGTTTATTATTTTTTAACTTGTTTGCATTTGAGAATGTAGTTTCCAAATAAATTATTTGACTATAATATTTCATTTGTGTGTTAAATATGATTTGAATGGGGGAATTCAGTTCTTAGTGGTACCTAAACATAATTTTAACTCTGTCTAGAGGAATTGACTCTGTTGAGTTACATAATTTGTTTTTAGCAGCTTCTTTTCTTTCACCTATTGCATGTTTTCTTAGATTTAGAGAGGTTAGAATGTGTAACTAAATGAAGATAGGTAGTTTTCTGCATGAACAAGTAGCCTTAAACAGAAGAAGTTACTACTTTAGTACTCTTTAGTTTATACATTTATATCTCCCCTACCCCATATTTTTGTTTGTGTGCATATGGGCTTATGTGAGCAATATTCTGTTTTGGAATAGTTATATATTAATACAATTTGCATAGATAAAATTAAAAAAAAAAGTATATATTTAAAAAATTTTTAAAGTAAATATTTTGAATCACCTAGATGAATGTATTGAAAATGTACCACTATAACTAGAATGTGATTGTAATTGCTTAGCTGATGTAGAATTCCTGACAGCTTCATCAGATTTTGAAACCAATTAGAATAAGTAAAGGTATAGGGTCACTTATTAGAGTAGCAAGGTGACTTTAAGTGAAGTTTTATGTGAATTAAGTGAAAGACTACCTTGTAGTATTATGACAGGATAGATAGCAGGACAAAAAGGAGAAATGAGACATTGCCTTACAAATAGTGATACGAAAAAAAATGTGTACAGTGGCATGAGAGTAGATTTTAGTGTATTGGCAGCAGTAGTAGAACTAATTTAGTGAGAAATAGGAACTTCTTTTAGATTTAGTCTCCTTTTAGCTGCCCATTCTGATGTACAGGCATCACTGATCCTAGCTGGGTGTGGCGACATATACCTATAATCCCAGCTACTTGGGAAGCTGAGGCAGGAAAACTGCTTGAACTCCAGGAGGCGGAGGTTGTAGTGAGCCGAGATCATGCCATGGCTCTCTAGCTGGGCAACAAGAGTGAAACTCCATCTCAAAAAAAAAAAAAAAAAAAAAAAAAAAAAAGAGAATATATCTGAGTAAATTTTATGTGTTTAACAGCCTTATGTGTATTTATGCATACAATATTCAATTTTGTTCTCTTTTAGTGGTTTGATAGTCCCTGAAATAAGGGGCAATGAAACTGTGCCTGAAGTTGTTACTACATCTGGCTATGCACTGTTACATTTTTTTAGCGATGCTGCGTATAATCTAACTGGTTTCAACATTTTCTATTCGTAAGTATTTTTAAAAAATTCCATCTTTTAATGATTCTTGTAATTTAATGTAAAAGAGTTTTTTGTTTATTTTTATTAATGTCTTATATACCAGAAGCAGGCTACTGTGTTAAATTTCAAATTAGTATATGGGATCCCTTCCTAAGTGGCACAAAATCTTACTAATATGCCACAAAATGTGATCTAAGCCTGTAAGTTTAGTCAAAAATTAATTATGAAATTTACAATTGTTTGTTGGCAAGTGATTAAGTAAACAAGTACTAGTGTAACTTTACTGGTGGCAATAGATCTGTGAGACTTCAGGGAGTTGTGAACTGCCCTTCAGTGCTGTAAGGTGTATCACTTGTAATTTGAAGAGCATTATGGGAGCAAGTTTCTGTAGTCCCTGTCTATTGCAGAGACTGTACTGATTGCTGAATGCTATACATACATTATATCATTTAATTCCCTTCAATTCTGTCAAGTGGGTATAGTTACCACATACACATGATGAAATTGTGGCTAAAGACATAAGTGGCTATACCACTGTTTTCTCTAAAATAAATGTAATATTCATTGAGAAAAGTAATGTTCATTGAGAATCTATTATATGTCCAACACTTCATATACATTTTTATATCTAGAAGTCTGAGGGTGAAGTAAAGCAGAGAGGCTTTCAGATGCTTCCACAGAAATGTCTAGGAGGAAGTCTACATATTATTACTTTTTTCTTTAGAATGTAGAAATTGATAACCAGAGAATTTTTCACCAGAAATATTATAAATATCCTTGAATCAGCAATTTATTATAGAATTTATTTGTTGTATAACGTATCTGAGTATGTATGCAAGAGAGAACAAATATATAGTAGAATATAATCAGTTAAAGAGTCTTAAAACTAAATATGATAAACATCTCTTCCATAAGAGTGTATGGGTGATAGCATGCTCTTTAAATATTGTACAACCAAGTTATATCTCGACTTCTCATATAGTTTTGAATATTCATGAATTTAACTTTTTTCTGTAAAATATACATTGAAAATGTTTGAGTACTTAAGTCTTTACAAAACATTTTGCTTGAAACTATACAGATCTTGCAGATGTCGAGTATGTAGTCCTTTGACATTTGGAGTCTTGGTATCAAAGTAAATCTGTCAAATAAACTAAGATCAACTGCAAATAAATACCAATAATTTCATAAGAGTAAGAGGGTACAGAGTAAAGAATTAAAACTGCATTTTGAAATTATATTTATAAGCACATAAGACACAGTTTAAAAAATTATAAAGTTTATATCAACCAAAATTCTTTTTCAGTTACCTTGAATTTGAATATATGTGAATATATGAATTATATTTTACAGAATCAATTCTTGTCCTAACAATTGCTCTGGTCATGGGAAGTGTACAACTAGTATTTCTGTTCCAAGTCAAGTATACTGTGAATGTGATAAATACTGGAAGGGTGAAGCTTGCGATATTCCTTACTGTAAAGCCAATTGCGGCAGTCCAGATCATGGTTACTGTGACCTAACGGGAGAAAAATTATGTGTCTGCAATGATAGTTGGCAAGGTAAGCACACGTGGTGTGATGGCTTTTGAAACAAACATTGATTCATATTTGTAATAGATTAATACAAATTCCACACTTACTTGTTTCTTTACAGTTTGCACACCCAAACCTCATGTATTTGCTTTTATTTTTAGAATGTTCAGATTAATAATCAACTTCTTAATAATTTGTTTTGTCACAAATAGAATTGATTAGTAAAGATTTTGTCTCCATACAATTTTGAAGATTAAATGAAATTATATATGAAACTCTGAATTGTTAGGTTTGTGATCATTACAGTCTTCTGTAATTTGTTGTTGAATCTCCCCAAATTTGGTGACTTCACTGAATTTAATATGGTGATTCGAATTTGATTTATAAGGATAATATAAATAGTGTGTTACAAAAATAAATGGTCATCTCACAAGGTACTGCAGTATATGAAACTTATTTCTTAGGAAAGGCTGACATCTTGTGGCTATTTAAAAAACTAAAATATTTTAAAAAGTATTTTAGCTGCCTATTGCAAAAGTCAGATTCCTAAGAAAGGATTTCTAAGTAATTTTTATAAATATTTATCATCAAAGATTAAGTTCAGATTACACTGAAGAATTTTGGCTCACTTATTTACCTGTGTATAAAATAATAAATATTGTCATTATGAAATTAAGAGATAGGCTTAGTTATACATATACCCACCCCACTAGAGCTTACTTTTTGCTAGTTACATTTACATATGAAGAGTTTTCTTTGTGCCAACATATTAATCCTGTTGACAGAGGGAAATTTGACTTAATAATTATATAACCTGAAGGTACTTGATTATGTGTTATAATAATACAGTATAATAAATAGTAGCAATAGTTTCTAAGTTAAAAACCAAAGAGAAAATGCTCCTCATGTACTTGTATTTATTATTCTTGAGGTACGTTTTCCAAAAAATGTTGAGTATTTACTTAAAGGAATTATTTCAGCCTTTGTATAAATTATGCCTGTCTTAAGCTCATGTTAGCTCATTAAAAAATATTAGGTATGCCAACTGCACAAAAGATCTATGATTTCTTATTAAATCAAATTTTGTTACCAATTGCAATTATGACAGACACAAATTTCTAAATGTTCTTTAATTATAGGGACAGGTATTTTAAGTGACTCTTAAACATTTGTGACTTTTCTTCTCCCCAAGAGTGCTTTGAGATGTAATTTCATTTTCATTTTTGTCCTGAAACTAAAATAACTATCTTTTCTATAGAGACAATGGTATATCCATGTTATATTTAATTTAAGGCCTGAGAAAAAGACTCATACACACAATATTTTTCAAACTGGTCTTCAATTGCTATTAGTCTCCATCGTATTTCAGTAGTCTTAAAAGCAGATGAGGAATACATTTGTTTAACATTCTCTGTGAACAACTCTTGTCATTTTTAATGCTTTTTACTTATTTTCATTAGTGCTTCTTTGAAATGCTTTATTTTGTGGGAGTCTTGTAATATAGATCTGATTCAAAGTATTATGAGTTTTTTCTGGCCTTTGTTTTTTGGACTTTTCATATCCTATTATTCGCATCAGTAATGTCCCAAATCATAAAAACTCCTGAATCTACTATGTCTATAAGCAAATAGAAATGGGGAAGCAAATATTGGGTATATTCACTTTTAATGCAAAGTTATAATTATCAGTAGTCTAATAAATATATATCGTGTGTTTGTATGCATATAAACACATATATTTATATATACATATATATTTTATATGGAGAAAAGTGAGAAAATGCTTTGTAAAGTATAAAATACAGAAGACAAATTTTTATACTATTTTCTTAATAATTAAGGAAATTATTTCTGAATTGATATGTCTGAGGATAGAGGGCTTGTAATTAGGTAGTGTGGTGTTTTCAAGACAAATGATGTACAGACTGATTACTTTGTGCCTCAAACCTCATCCTGATTCTGTATTTAAGGAAGCATAGCCCCAAAGTAGGTGAGATTATGAGCAAGATCATTTAGGGGAAAATGATGTTTTTATTTCAGATATATAGAATGGGAAAAAATCAGTGAGGTGAGAAGAAGAGATAGATTTGCTTCTAGGACAAATGGGGAAATGATCAAAGAATGAAAGACATTTGAACATGTGGGCTGCTGAGGCAATCTTTATGAGATTCAAAATCTGATTTTGTTTGATACAAGGTGTTATGTGGAACTGGATTATTTAGGTTAGAGTAACAGATTGTTGTTACCTTCATTATATTTTATTTTTTGTTGTCGGTTGACTTTACTTATTCTGTTTTGCTCTGTGCTAATGTATATTTTTTAAATATGAGTGTTGCCCTCTAGAAACTTGGGTTTTAGTAACATAACACAGAGGAAAAACCTAGCTTTATGTTAAGGCTTGAATTCCTTCTTAACATTTCTCTTTTGCTTACCCTACCTGGTCTTTGTCTGTCATTGTTTTCTTTAGTGTTTCCTTTTTTTTGAGATAGGATCTTACTGTGGCTCAGGCTAGAGTGCAGTGTCATGATCACAGCCCATTGCAGCTTTGACCTTCCATGCTCAGATGATCCTCCCACCTTAGCCTACTGAGTAGATGGCACCACAAGTTGCACACCACTATGCCCAGCTAATTAAAAAAAAATTTGTTTTTTGTAGAGTTGAAGTCTTTCTATGTTGCTCAGGCTGGTCTCAAACTCCTGGGCTCCAGTAATCCTCCTGCCTTGGCCGTTCAAATAGCTGGGACTACTCGAGGGTACACAGGTTATTGTATAATATTTAATTTTGTCACAATGTATAGTTGTCAAAGACAATGATATATACATCTTAAATATATGACGAAAAGTATAGGGACCTGTGTAGACTCATCTGCTTCTATGACAGTGAAATAAAAAAAAAATAGATTTCATTTTTAAGAGTAGTTTTACATTCACAGGAAAATGGAGCAGAAGGTACAGAGAATTCCCATTTACCTCCTGCCCCAAAACAGTATCTTCCACCAGAGTGGGAGGTTTGTTACAGTTGATGAGCTCACATTGAAACATCATTATCAACCAAAGTCATAGTTTACATTAGGGTTCACTGTCAGTGTTGGACATTCTGTGGGTTTGGACAAATGTATCATGACATGTATCTGCCATTATAGTATCAACAGAATAGTTTTTTTAACCTAAAAATCCCCTGTGCTCTGCCTGTTCATTCTTTCCTCCCCTTAGGCTTGCCAACAACTGATCTTTTCATTGTCTTCATAGTTTTGCCTTTTCTCAAATATCATATAGTTGTAATCAAACAGTATGTAGCTTTTTTTGACTGGCTTTTTTGACTTGATGATATACATTTAAGTTTCCTCCATGTCTTTTTGTGGCTTGATAGCTAATTTCTTTTCAGCACTGAATAATATTCTATTGTATGGATGCACCACAGTTTGTTTATCCATTCACTTACTGAAGGACATCTTGGTTGCTTCTGGTAAAATGTGTTTACATTTTAATAAGTCACCTGAGGGAAAAAGGCAACTTTGAAAAGCACTGATCTCTTAAAATGGCTTCCAAACATTGGGATATAAGAGCGGTTTTTAAAAGACATCATAAGCAAGACATAACAAATTGAATTCATGTTCATGTGTAAAGAATACAGAACAATAATTTTCAAAGTAGATTCCAAGGTATGATGTTCTTCCCACCAACTCCCTTAGAGTGGTTGCATATTTCTCTATTTTATATAACTTTAAAAAATCTGAATGATGGGAGGTCTTTGGTTGAAAGCAACAAAAACAATCCTGGCTTACTTGAGCAGAAAAGTCAATTATTGGAAAGTATGCAGAGACAGAGACCACTATCTCCCAGCATTGATTCCTCCATTCATTTTAGTAATAGAATTCTCATTTAGCTCAGCACATGGTCTTCTAGCTACATAGCACATTTCTCATGCTCCCTTGCAGCTGTTACAGCTATGATACTGTATTAGTTCATTTTTATGCTGTTGATTAAGACATATCTGAAACTGGGCAATTTACAAAAGAAAGAAGCTTAATGAACTTACAGTTCCACATGGCTGGGGAGGGCTCACAATCATGGCAGAAGGTGGAAGGCATGTCTCACATGGCAGCAGACAAGAGAAGAGAGGTTGTACAGGGAAACTCCCCTTTTTAAAACCATCAGATCTTGTGAGACTTATTTGCTGTCATGAGAACAGCATGGGAAAGACCTGCCCCTGTGATTCAGTTACCTCCTACTGGGTCCCTCCCACAACACATGGAAATTCAAGATGAGATTTGGGTGGGGACACAGCCAAAACATATCATTCCATCCCTGGCCCCTCCCAAATCTCATGTCCTCACATTTCAAAACCAATTATGCCTTCCCAAGTCCCCGAAAGTTGTAATGCATTTCTGCATTAACTCTAAAGTCCCAAGTTTCATCTGAGACAAGGTAAGTTCCTTCTGCCTATGAGTAACATCAAAAGCACGTTAGTTACTTCCTAGATAACAATGGAACAGCCATTAGGTAAATATAGCCATTCCAAATGGGAGAAACTGGCCAAAGCAAAGGGGCTACAGGCGCCATGCAAGTCTGAAATCAGCAGGGCAGTCAAATCTTAAAGCTCCAAAATGATCTCCTTTGACTCCAGGTCTCACATCTGGGTCATGCTGATGCAAGAGGTGGGTTCCCATGGTCTTGGGCAGCTCCGCTCCTGTGGCTTTGCAGGGTATAGCCCCTTTCCCAGTTGCTTTCATGGGCAGACATTGAGTGTCTTTGGCTTTTCTAGGCACATGGTGCAAGCTGTTGGTTGATCAACCATTCTGGGGTCTGGAGGACCATCGCCCTCTTCTCACAGCTCCACTAGATGGTGCCCTAATAAGGACTCTCTGTGGATCTCCAGCTCTTCCGCATTGCCCTAGGAGAGGTTCTCCATGAGGGCCCTGCCCCTGCAGCAGACTTCTGCCTGGGCATCCAGCCATTTCCAAACATCCTCTGAAATCTAGGCAGAGGTTCCCAAACCTCAATTCTTGACTTCTGTGCACCTGCAGGC